TTTGAATTCCCACTCCTGATTTTTTGCCCACTGAAGGAAAGCTTGGCTACTGAGAGGAGGGTTGGCTACTGAGRGAAAGCTTGCCACTTGTGCTGAGTGAGAGGAGCAGSAACGCTGCTGCTGCTGCTGCTGGAGCCCCAGTGTTTATCTTTCTAAGGGCCATGTAACTCTCAAATGTACAAAAGTGAGGCCACTTGAGCTGATAAATGTGCCTGCTGAGTACCCACTAGACAGTGAGGATCTTTCTTGGAAAGCTCAACAGCAAGGTGTCAGCTGAGAAAAACACGCTTGGGAAACCTGCTGCCAGGAGGAGAAGTGGAACATCCCCTCAGCCAGCTTCTGAGCAAGTTATTCCTCTCTCCTTCTCTGAGGTTTCCTTGGGGTCACCCCYAATGCCTTAGAGCCCATCAAGGTGGTAACAATTGAGGTTTCTGAGGCACAACCTCCCCCTTGCTCCTGAGCGCAGCACATCCTTCACCCTGCACGCATTGAGTGGCTGTGGGACACAGAACAGCCTCTCCTCAGGTGCTGGGTCCCCTCCTCAGCTGCCACACACTGAGTACACTGAGCATCCTTTCCCAAAGTCTCCAGGTACACATATGCACATTTTTATATACAGAGCACTCAGGAAGAAAAGGAAACTGGTTTAGCTCACCTTGGTTCACAAAGAAAATTTACAGGAATTCTGACCATCTATTTACTGTAGTCTGTGTTAAAGGAATGTCTTCAAAATTACTTTGGTAAAGTTAGGAAGTGCCAGAAACTGCCTGCTTATTCGTCCTGAAGTGGGGGGTGGATATATGTATTCTCTGTATATACATATGTATATATATATAAATGCAAGGATTGATGGATGAAGGGGTGGATGGAATGGCTATGGAAGTCAGTCCTTTTTTGCAGTCACTCAGTATTTTCTCCATGGGATATCTGCCCCTGTCCGTGGCTCACCAAGGAGTGCAAGTTTGTGTGATGCAGGTGAGGCCAGCCCTCAAACTGCATTTGTATTCATGTATTCAGACACAGCACGGGCTCACCTCGGAGGGTTTGCATTTACACACTGCASGACAGACTGCTGCTGTTCAGGAAGTGTTTGCAGATAGTAATCTAAATAAGATCAAATGGGATTTTACAGCAGCCTTCATATTAAAGGCTTTGCAGTAGAAAAGCTCTACAAAAATTTGCTGTGTGAGCCCAAAGGGGGGTATTTTAGTAAAGCAGGTTGAGAAAGATGTTAAAGGGAAGGTAAGTCTTTCATTTGGAGTTCGAATGTGCGAAGGCAGGTGGAAGAACTGGATTTGTAGTGTTGCCACTCGTTGGTAAAAGCTGTGGAAGCAGAATGTAGTCRGCTCTGAGCTGTGACCCTGTATCCAAGGCAACTGTGTCTGGATGWGAGGTGGTGAGGAGCTGGAGAATAAATGAGAGGCAGTTGTGAAATTTACAGGTATGGCTCTCGGGGGAAATAATAATGAAATGCTAGCAGGTGGAGGAGGGTGGAAGGAAGCACCAGAACCCAAACACGGCATTCAGACTGCGATGTTTTGTTCCTGTGTAGGTGTGCAGTGTGGTGCGTGTGTTAGTGAACACCAACCAGGACTATAGAAAAGCCATGAAGTAAAGCACAGACGGCACAGAAGTGAAACAAAATTGTTAACTCTTTGTTTCTCTGTGTTCTCTAAGCCCCATCTCTTACCCTTTGTGCTGCAAGAACTTCTTCCCCTCTTTCCCTTCTTTCCCTTTGCTTTGAAGCTGCATCCCGGTTATAGTTGTTCCTGTTGTTTATTTCTGAGGACCCGTTTGTTTAAATTTAGTATATTTGGATTTCTTTGAATATGACTACCTGATGGTTAAACAGTGGCATGGAGGTGATGCTGCTGCTATGATCTAAGTGTRTTTCAGTCTGGGATTTAAACTGATGGCTCCAGTGTGCTGACCTGCTGTGAGTGGAGTCCTGGGACAGGACACAGAGGCAGGGACACATCATGCCCTTCCTCCTGTTCAGTTTCTGAAGGGACCAAGACTTCATTGCATCTCTGGGTAAAGACATCTTTACTGCAAAGCTGTCACCCCCTTCAGTCTCCAAAYACAGTAAGGCACAGTAATTGCCAAAGCAATTTGCCTGAGAGGAGAGCTCACAAGTGCTTCAGCTGCTATTCCTTTCTCTCTCCTGGCAGCAACCATCTCTTTTACCCATAAGAAAAGGAGTAAAAGAAAAGAAAGCAAGAGCAACAGGAAGCATATGTCACCAGTTTGTCCATCTGTTCTACCTCTTGAATCCATCACTAGCTGAAGTAATTTAAAACTCCAGAGGTGCAGAGCTGTAACCGCGGTCCTGAGGGTCTCATTAAATGCCAGCACTTTGCCATGAGAGGCTGCTGAAGAGTTTTTATCATCTCTGTTAAATCTCTTTGTTTGGGGAGAACAGAGCCCAGAGCTGAGGTGCAGAACACACCGGGACCAGCCTCTCCCACTCAGGGTGACACCAAGGGACAGATCAGCTGGCACAGTGAGTGTCCCCTCAGCCAGCTGGTGACCTCAGGGACGTGTGCTGGTGGTGGCTCAGCACTGCTGGGGTGACAGCTGGACTCGATGCTCTGCTTGCCTGGCTCACTTTTTGCCTGTTTCATGTATTTTTTAGCGCTCTCGTTGCTGTGGTGGGCCCTTTCATCCTGCATAGCCACAAACTGAATTTTGGTAACCTTTTACTTCAGAAAATCTTGAAACAAACGGCATCAAAAATACAAAACTTCACCACCTCTCATGAACGATCACCAGAATGCACTGCAAGGCTGCAGCGCATTTACAGCGCGATCCAAACTGTGGCAATCTCTCTTTTCCCTAATTAATGAATGTGTCTGGCCGTGTGTGTGACAATAAACCATTTGTTTTGATGGGGCTGTTCACATGCAGCATGTGTCTCTGCTTTGCTGACGAGGCACAGCGAGCAGATGCCTTTCCTGTAGTGAGCTGGCTGCGTGTCCCGAGCTGGCAGCACAGCAGCTCCACCTGAGCATCACACAGAATCCTTTAGAGGATGCAGGAGCCAGCCCAGGGCACAGGACACAGGACAGCTCCATGAGCCAGCCCAGGACACAGGACACAGGACACAGGACACAGGACAGCTCCATGAGCCAGCCCAGGACACAGGACACAGGACACAGGACACAGGACAGCTCCATGAGCCAGCCCAGGACACAGGACACAGGACACAGGACACAGGACAGCTCCATGAGCTAGCCCAGGGCACAGGACATCCTCCATGCAGCCAGTGCAAGGCACAGGACAGCTCCACCCTCCCAGAAGGAGCTGAGAGCTCCCAGAGCCCCAGGCAGGCTGCGTSAGCTCTGCTCAGGGCTGTTCTTGTTCACACAGCAAACTGGAGAGATGGTGGCTCCAGACAACAAAATGTAACGACCTCTTTGGTAATATTTTCTGGAATACTGTGCGATTTTTTCACTGGCTTTGGCACAACATCCTCTTTTTACAATGAAGATTTTGATTATAAAGCCATAGATTAGTTTGGGTTGGAAGGAACATGAAAGGTCATTTGTTGAGAACCTCRTTGCTCTGGGCAGGGATGCCTGTCACTAGATCAGGTACTCACACTACGAAGTGTAGTCTGATTTGCTGCCACACAGCTGCTCCTGAGCCTGCCAAATYGGTTGTGAAGGTAGGACCATCTCTTTCCTCATGCATCTTCATGCCACTGAAAAGGTATGTCTGAGTTTACTTGTCACAAGCATTTACATTCTTCTATCAACCAGTGGGAAATTCTCTATCAATGAACTGGAAAGGAAGCACAGATTAAAACSTGGAAAAATTCAGCCATTGCAAAAAATAAATCAATAGATTTCAAGCAGCAATCTCCACTCATTATATATAGGCAATATTGTCCTGCTGCTGTTTGTAGAGGTGTGTCATGGTAATAAACTGGATTTAATGATTTCACTATCTTCTGTAATGATTTCATTGTGCTTTAYGCTTTTTCTTCACAAACGTCTATTTATATAGTCTGATGTTGATACTTACCTCCTTGGATGCATTACTAGCTTGGTATCTTGGTGGAACAATACAATGAARTGTCAGAATGTGGATTTTTCAGAARCCTTTAGTTTAGATTGGACAAGGTTATTTATTCATGGGACATAAGCAGTCACCTCGGTCCTGTCAATTTGCTCTTTGCCTGAGCCACCAAGTGCTTTTACAGGGAATAATAGCAGAACAAGGACAATAGCTGCAGAACTCAGTTTCAGAAGAATCTTCCTGAGACAATATGTGAGATATATATAACCTTTTTCATAAAATAGCTGGTATCACTTATTTTATGAAAAATAAAATACTTTTACTGGTATCAGTAAACTTACTGTGTTTATTTGCATGCAAATTTAAGTTCACTTTTGGTGTTGTTTACCAATCTCCAGCTACAAGGCATTACTGATTATTTATAAATCTGTGTGTATGAGTAATGTCGTAGTTACAATAAGTAATTCCTTTAAGGAAGAGGTGAATTAATATTGTTGCTTCTGGATCTTCCCAGAGTTTTTGTATTCTGATTTTTCTATTTACCTGTGCAGCAGTGTTTTTCCCTGCTGGGAATCTGYGAGTTCCCAGTGCCCCCAGTCTGCCCGGCAGCTCTGCACATGATGGCTTTTCCTCCCCTCTGTGATGATAGCAGGAGGGCTTCTCACAGCTGGGCTTTGGAAAAGGCTTCAAAGTGCTGTTATTTCTAARCCACTATTCAGTATTTGGGAGGTATGTTTTTTTCCTGTTACACAACCTGGAAACTTCCATCTTCTCAGCAGGAATGGTRTCACCAGACCCCTGTAACAAAAATGTTACACTGGGTTATAGCTGGTGAACAGAGAGCTTAAACTCTGCACTGGGTCGAGCAGGGAAATGGCCTCCTCACGTCACYCCAGCTTGGTGAGGTTTGGGCTCAGTGAGTGGGAGCCTCGTGAAGGTTCACGGGTCCCGAGTTTGTGCATGAAAGGCCGCGTCATTAACGCTGTGTTCATCTCCACGCCGCAGGTTTTGGGATGACCACGCCGGTGACGGTGGCTGGAAAGGTGTTCCTCATGGTTTATGGCCTTTTCGGGTGTGCCGGGACCATCCTGTTCTTCAACCTGTTCCTGGAGCGCATCATCTCGCTGCTGGCGTTCATCATGAAGGCGTGCTACGAGCGGCAGCTGCGCCGCAGCGGGCTCCTGCCGCCCAACCTGCGGCGGGGACAGCTGTGCCCAGCTGTGGGCAGCCTGGCGGGCTGGAAACCCTCCGTCTACCACGTCATGCTGATCCTGGGAATGTTCGCCGTCACCCTGTCCTGCTGCGCCTCCGCCATGTACACGGCCGTGGAGGGCTGGAACTACGTCGACTCCTTGTACTACTGCTTCGTCACCTTCAGCACCATCGGCTTTGGAGATCTGGTGAGCAGCCAGAACGCCGCCTACCAGCATCAGGGATTGTACAGATTCGGSAACTTCGTATTTATATTGATGGGGGTATGTTGCATATACTCCCTTTTTAACGTCATCTCCATCGTCATCAAACAAGTTTTGAACTGGGTGTTGAAAAAATTGGAATGCAGTTGTTGCCCCAAGTGCCGTAAATCGGGCTCCCGCCTCAGCCGGCGCAAYGCCATCACGCCGGGGGCCCGTCTGCGCCGCCACAACGTCACCGTGGAYGCCGAGGGCCAGTACGACAGTGACACCGAGGGCAGGAGGCTCTCTGGAGAGATGATCTCCATGAGGGAGCTCACGGCCTCCAGCAAGGTGTCCCTGGCCCTTCTGCAGAAGCAGCTGTCCGAGACGGCCAAYGGCTACCCCAGGAATGTGTGCATCAATACGAGACAGAACGGCTTCTCGGCAGGGGTGGGGGCTCTGGCCATCATGAACAACCGCCTGGCAGAAACAAGTGATTCTAGGTAGAGTTCTCGCAATTCCTTTTGGTTCTTAAATGGAAATAAAATGGGGGTCAGGGCAGAATTTCCACTGTAAACTACTGGAAAGTTTTACATTTCAGAGACAGCCTTGGTATTCATTGGTTCTTGAGCGTTTTACTTTCTGGAGGTTTTATAAGTTTTCTCTAATATGCAGTGAGATCTTTACCATTATGTTACAATTTTCCCCTAAGGGGGTTTTAACTGTGACTTGGATGTCTTTGGTRCAGAATCTGGTGCAATTATGAAAGGGTGATGTGCATGGTTAGGATGGTGTCAAAACCAACGAGCTCTTCTTCAGAGCAGAGCCTGAACCCAGAATCTGTGTTCCAATGCATAAAGCAGGCGAGTTGGGCTCCAGGTTCAAAAGGGGTCGGTAAGTTTTGGTTAAGCCAGGATCTGACAGTTTGCTAAGTTTGGGTCTGGCCCTGAGCCTGTACTCAATGCTGCTCAGCCRTTCCTCGTGTGTGACAAACACAGAGGTGGCTGTGTCACACCGGCCCYAGGGGGATCCCTTCAGCAATCCCACTGACTGCAGTGCCAGGGTGKGGAACAGGCTGAACTCACCCCGTACGAGCAGTGGGTCTGACAGACAGCCTGCCACCTCACTGAGAGTCAGGGGGTTATCCAGGACCGTGTTCAAGTGTGCAGAGCTGTTCCTGCCTGTGAGTAACAGAAAACAGGCAAATTCATCYTCAGAGCTGACTGGAGTCAGTTTAATGCAGGAGAAGCCAGTATGCACATCTGGTGTCAAATGTTTGCATCACCACAAAAATGCTTATTTCATTGCTTTCCCATTGAAATGTCACTAAAATGATCATAGGCTCTCTGTTGTCCTAAATTTGCATCTTTTACTTCTGCMATATTGTTGCAGAGATTGGTGCAGACCATTTCCTTGCAGTTCTTTGAGGACCCCCACCCTGTACTTGTTTCCCACAAATCTGATGGTGCAGGTTGTGCAGAAGAGCATTGCTTTGGAGCTCCCCCAGAAACTGGCTTCCCCCAAAATGTTGATACCAAGTCATAAACTGGTCTTCAGCTGTTGCTGCTGCCACCTTAAGCCATATTTCACCTGCACTAGCCCAAACCACTGAAGAACCAGAAGGAAACCTGGTCTAGCCTGGGTAGTTTAGCGTGACAAAAGGACTTGCTGCAAACCTCTTTCAAAAAACATGCACAGCTCTGGATCATTTCTCTATGTTCTCTCTACTACACTGTGAAGGTAATAAAAAGGCTTCTGTTGATCCCAAGCAAGAAACAAAACTTTACCTTATATTTTGAGAAGCCACCAGTGGACTTCTCCTGGAAGCTTTCTGGAAAATTGTAAGCAAAACCATTTGTAGTAGGTTGGCCACTGAATAAATTGAAAAAGAACATGAAAGAAAACTAGGAGTACTATAAGTGTTTGAAAACATTTCTATGAAGTTTCAYGTAGGTATTTTGTTCTATTTACTTACATTACTTTGTTTTGCCTGGGTTTGGTGTAGCCATCATTTTGCTCTCTTTTACATTTATAGCAATGAAAATATTTTGGAATTTAACCATGGAAAATTACCTTTAAATTTGAGGTTTTGGCCACTCGAGCCTGCTAACTGAATGCTGGCAGTGGATGTGTCTTTTTCCTAACAACAAGGAGTCAGARCAGCAGATAAACCATCACACATGGTCCTTAGCACACCGTAAATGTCACRGCTTTAATCGAGATGTGTCTGGCCAGAAGCAAGCAGTGATGGTTGTAATGCATTTCCAGCTGGCACAGACTCACCCTGAAGTTCTGTGTGTGGTAGGGGCCACATCCAAGCAAGCAGGAGCTTACCTGATGGGAGAGAGTCCCCAAGGTCCGTGTGTCAGGGTGCCTTCCTGTTCCTCTCTGGACAGACTGCAAGGGTGCTCGGTGTCCCTTGGAGGCTCACAGAGGGATAAATGTACACAGAATGTGCAGGGACAGGGCATGGTCTGGAAAGGACTCTGCTGGAAGGCTCAGTGCTGGAAGGTGCCTGCCAGAGATGCACAGCCAGGGAAACAGTGACAGTTTGTTATTTTCCCTTGGGATTACCCCATGGGTAAATCCTTGTCTGTGATGATTGATGTGTTTGTTTATTAAAAATGCAAATGGGACCCTGCTCTCTTTTTGCAGCCAGACCTCTCTTAGGGTTGTGCCTTGGTGCATTTGTCATCACGGGGACTATTGCTCATCAGAACTGTGTGAGGTGCTGCATAAATCAGGGCAGCTGGGCTCTGTCCCAAAGGACTTTGGAGTTTGAGCAGATAGGACCTCAAGGCTCAGCAGAGCTACCTGTTTATAATTTCACTCATAAAAACATGTTCAAATGCATCAGCAATCTTTGAGCTCAAGAACTCTTACAGTAACAAAGTTGCAGATTAAGGGGGATTTTTTCAGTGAGTTGTTTCTAAAGGATATTTATTAATAGTAAATTATTAATTTATTAATATTWAATTTATTAATATTAACTACAATTAGGATCCTATTTAAATTGTAAATTTCTGAATTGTTTTCAAACTACTTAATCCAGCCTGGGAAATACAGTGAAGTAATAKGAAATGGTACATACCTCCTCTATGATTTTTCTGAGTCCAGGCAAAGGCAAGCAGTCCTCTGTACCATGATTTAAATGTTTTCAGGTCTTTCGGTACCATCAGTCCCAGGGGTGCCTTGGCAGTTCCTGTTGACCCCGGGGGAAGTTGGACCAACTCCTGAGGCTGGGCTTCCCCGGGGATTTGGGGATCAGATTGCTGCTCTGTTCGCTCAGATCTGATGTTTGCTTACTCCCAGGGTCCTTGATAATCTCCATTCTGCCTGTCCTTAGCCTCAGAGGCGTGGGAGGTTATTTGCCAGTGCCCCTGTTGCAGGACACACAGGAGCTGACCAAAGGCAACCACAGGGCCCCCAGGYCATATCCAAGTCCTGAGAAAGTCCCCAGACCCATGTGGCTCAGCAAAGCTCAGTTTGTGGGAGGTCAGGGCACAGTTCCTGAGCTGGGTCTCACTGGGGAGCATCTGGCCAAGGGAGGCCTTACAGATCCCTCATACTGAGCAGCAGAAGGATTTTTGCAGGGTGCATGGAAASCAAGCTCCAGATCTGTGTCCTGCAGCCCTGCCTGGCTGCCCATCACCCCGTGCACGAGTGCACCAGCCAGCAGAGCACAGCACCTTTGAGGCCCTCGTGCTCTTTAGCTTTTTTTTATTTCAATAACAGCTCCTGTTCCAACTTGCCAGTCTTGGGCACTAACTCCTGTTGTATTGTGTGTGGTCCAGCTCGGGTGCCCCAGGGCTGTCTGCTCCATTTGGGAATTAACCCCTAAACCAGCTGCACCTAGTGCAATTCCTCCTGGCATTTCATTTTCACAGAGAAAGCAGAAACCAGCAATACCTGGACACAGGCTGAAGCACAAGAAAACAGAAGGAAACAGAAGGAGCAGAGTGGGACAGTGAAAGCACACTGCACTAGATTGCACTTTCTTTTCTGGTGACTTGGGAGTTGTGTTACATTCCTGAAATGGGCACTTATTTCAAATTTTCTTCTGGGTAGCCTTGAAGGATGCAATKGGCTTGGGTTTTAAGAGTTCCTCTTCCCTGGCGTGCCCCTGTGCCCCCTGTGAGGAGCAGCAGTGACTCCAGGCTGGCACACACAGGATAGCCCAGCTGAGCCTGGGTTAGCACAGAGCTGAGCACAGAGCTGAGCACAGAGCTGAGCACAGAGCCTGTCCCACAGACTGGGCTGGTGCTGCTGAGCCCAGCCAGGGGCATTTGGGAACTGCAAAAAGCTGCAGGAATGAGGACCTGTCTGTGAGCCAGCCCTGGGGAGAGCAGCAATGGCACAGGTGACAGCTGCTGGACAGAGGACATGCCTGTGCTAACATCTTCTAGGTGAAAATCAGCATTTGGGTGAACATTAATGAGCAGCAATGGCCAAATTCAAGTGACACCTTCTCTTAACCCTGGAGCTCAGGGCAAAGCAGTTACAAGGGACAGTTTCTTGTGAAACCTGTAGCATTTGACAAGTCACTACTTTGGCTTCACAGGGTCTGTCTTTTCTGGGTGTCTTGGACAAGGTTTGGGGTCACACCAGGATGGCATCTGGTTCCACTGGTTCCTCCCAGCTGTGACACGACAGTCACTTTGTGCAGAGCATTCCCGTGTGTTCCCATGCAGTGCAGAGGATGTCCCTGAGGCCAGGCAGATGTTCAGAGGGGTCTCGGTGAACCCGGCCGCAGTGCCCAGGGACGGGGCTGTGCTTTGCTGTCCCTGCAGGAGCAGCACGAGTGCCACCAGTGRCCCCGTCACTGCCAGCAGGGCACACCACGGCTCTGGGGCACTCACCAGCTCTCAGAGCAGCTGGCATTTCTGCTGGGAGAGGGAATGTCTCTAGAGCTGTGTGTGACTGCCCTGTGCTGTGCTCAACTTGCCCAGAAATGCCCCCGTTGGCACAGTGCTGCTGTCCCAGCACAGCCTCAGCYCTGGCCTTTGGTCTTTTCCTCTCTCAGCTTGCTGTGGGTGAATATTTGGGTGTACTATGACCATTTACCCATATTTTAGTCAAGTCTTGCTTCTTTCTGGCTGAAAGGAAGACTTTAGCAGCAGTGGAGGTCATACAGCCAGGCATGTGGGCTCAGTATAAACCYGATTGCCTGCTTGGGATGAGTTTGTAACTATATGGAAATGAGCTCCAGCAATGAGACCATTCTCACATTTTAGTATTTTTCTAGCTTTTCACTTTAAAAATATTCAGTGGCAAATCATGGCAGTGAATGTTCAGAGCTAATCTCAGCAAAATCATATTTTGCCAATTGCTGGCCTGGCAAATGTGTGGGCATGGCTTCTGCTCGAATTGGGTTACTGATGTGCCTTTCCAAACCAACACACATTTGCAGTGTTACATTTAAATAATACAATAAATGCTGTGTTACGTCATAAATTCTATCAGGACAAATTAGTACTGGACTCACACAAAATAACTAATGAAGTGTGCGTTGCACATTGTACGGCCAATATKCAATTTCTTTTTTTGAGAATATGTCCATATGTGGACTCAAATGTGCTTTCATGAATGCTCAGAAAAGAGAAGCACTAATCTGTGGAAAATGAAGGAAAGTTGGACAATTCCACTGAGATTTGATGCAAAGGCTGTTCGTGATGCATTATAAAAATGCTTTGTGGCAGTGACACTGAGGAAGGACTACTTTAGTTTACGTGGCCACAGTCTGAATGCAGCCACCAATAAAGAYACATGCCCCTTTTCTTTCTCCCTTTGCTAAATGGGTAACATCCACCCTTTAATTACAATATCTCATTAAACTCGACGAGAAAATGCGATTGCCCTGAATTTTGCGTAGGCAAAAAGAGGTCTAAGGTTAAATGCAAACTTTGAGCTCTAAAGATCCAGAGCGGTGCAGTTTAGCTTTGAAGGGGGGCTGCAGGSACACAGCCTTCCGATGCATTGTGCTTAGTCCTTCCCTGGAAAAAAAAGAGGGAATAAATATGGATGCAGTTTATTGCAGAGTACCGGGTGATTTAGCATGAGGGAAAAACCGCAGCAAGTGTGCTGTTAATGAGAAATGAGAAGGGCGGGGAGAGGGAGAGGCTTGGGAGTGTTCTCCAGCAAATGCAGCAGAAAACCAAAGACTTGCTTTGCATTCCTTTGTGCATTTGGCATTCCTCATCCCAGAGTGGTGACACTGCCCCCGGAGCTCCCGTGGGCTCGGCTGTGCCTCTTGTGGAACACGGAGAGAGGTGTTGAGTGAGACAGGGACAGACAGGGACAGACAGGGGCAGATGGGGACAGATGGGGACAGATGGGGCAGACAGGGGCAGACAGGGACAGATGGGGACAGATGGGGACAGATGGGGCAGACAGGGGCAGACAGGGACAGATGGGGACAGATGGGGCAGACAGGGGCAGACAGGGACAGATGGGGCAGACAGGGACAGACAGGGACAGACAGGGACAGATGGGGCAGACAGGGACAGAGGGACTGCTCCTGGGCTGTCACCCCTCGGTTACACTGCCCAGGGCTGTTCTGGGGTTCTGATGGGGACAGAGCTGCACTGCTCCCTGGCAGTGATGGGCACTGTTCAGTGTTTCACATTCCCATCCCTGAAGGTGCTCCATGGCAGTGATGGGCACTGTTTGGTGTTTCACATTCCCATCCCATCCCATCCCATCCCTGCAGGTGCTCCCTGGCAGTGATGGGCACTGTTTGGTGTTTCACATTCCCATCCCTGCAGGTTCTCCTGGTCCCATGGCACGCCCGGGGTATCCCAAGCCCAGATTGGCATGAGGAGGGACATGGGTTCCAAAGTGTGCACCATCAACATCCCAGGCGTTATCAGGATTGGACCTTGGSCACGTGATGCTTTTTCAAACCTGAGAAATACAGATATTCTTTCTTATTCTTAGAAATACTGARTATTCCCACGTTCTTTTTGTGCTTTGCAGACTGTATGAACACCTTTTTAAACCAGTGAGTCAATGCAAAATTAGTGCTTTTATAATAACATACAATAAACAACATGAAAAATTACTGGTGTTTCTGACAATATGCRCAGATCAAGCACCAGGTTTTCTCAATGGGTATAATTTCCTATTCCATGCAAGTAAAATTACATCCAGGAAATTTTTCCTTATAGTAGCATTTTTCCTTTTGTAGCCTACCTTTCCGTAGGCTGCACAGACAGTGCAAAAAGTCAGTTCCAATTTTACTGTAAAATATCTGAAAGCACAACATCTAAAAAATGGTTTGGGGATTGTTGAGGGGGGAGGGTGGTGTGTGTATAAATATTGTTTACAAAAATMAAAACATTACAATTCTACCTGTACAAACCCATTTTTAGCTCACTAGAGTACTATTTTGTTGGATACTCTCAGAAAAAATATTAGTTCCAAATTTGCAGCCAATTTAAATTACTCAAGGCACTTGTTCAGAAGTATTCCTGTTTATTTTGTTTCTTTTTGAAAGGGCACAGCTCGGTAGCTATCTTTAACTGAGCTGGCATTTCTATCTCCTACTACTCAAACCTCAATAATTTTACCTCTGCAGTTAATTCCCCTAGTTTTGGTATTTGCTCACTTCTGCACTGAATTATGGAAGGAACAGCTGGTTCTGCACTGTTTTCTGGATGGTGTCACTTTCTTTTTCACATTGATTGCAAATAGCTGAAATATTAACATCGGCAGATGTTCCCAGACACACCGAAATCATTAGTCACTTTTCTGAACATTTTTCTTTTAAATTGTTTTGTAACATCTGAATTCTGWTTATCAATTACATGGTGGTTGGAATTAGCAGACTGAATATTTTTTCCTACCAGCAGAATTGCTCCTCATGAATTCAGTAAAGGATGCTAATGATTTGGTTTTATCTAAAAAGTCTGGCCTATTTCATTTGCCTGTTTTATCGAACTTGTTTCAAATTCTCRAAGTCAGCTCTAAGTCCCGTTTGGAAGATGCCCTGTGCTGTCCATTTGTTCCTATGAATGCAGCTTGCAGAGGGGTTAAAACTGAGCCTGCATGCAYAACCCTTCAAAACGGGAATATTTGTGCCTGTTTGGCCATTGCAAACCAAGGGCGTGCTGGTGTCATTCCAATTCAAGCATGGAAACATAAATAAACCCCAGGGCTCGACCGGCTGCTCAGCATTGTTATCAAAAAGGCCACGCAGCTGCAGTGCCGAGAGTGCTGCTCTGACTCTGGAGCACAAAGGTGTTGTTTTGAGGGTTGGTTTGGTGGCTGGGAGCTGGTGCTGGGTGGGTAAAGCAGCTTGGTGGGGTGGAACGGGGCAGTTCCCTCTGCTGGGCCTCAGGAGACATTTGCCAATAGTAAAAAAGGGGCAAAAAGAGTGACAGTGCACTGAGCCTCTCTTGAGCAGCACAGCAGAGTGCTGTGGCCTGTGCCAGACTGTTTGTGGCACCTCTGAACTCTGGGCTGCTCCTGAACTGGAATATTTGGGACACAGGTACAACTGTGGAATCACTGTACTCTGCAGAGCATCTGCACTAATAGTGCTGTGATCCTCCTTTCCTCACAAAATGGGTAGAAACAATCAATTACCAAGTCTGGCTATATTTGCTAAGAGATCTGTATCAGTAAAAACAAGAAAAATGGCCTTAGCAGTGCAGTGAATCAACAAAAGTAAGTAAGTGGTGTTCTGAGCAGAAAGGGAGGTGCTAAAATACACAGTTGGAACCCAAAGCTCAGGCATTGTGTCACAAAATGATCATTCTGTTCCAATGCTCAATGCACCTGTGTCTTTTGGATAAAGGCCTTGGTTTCTGCCAACACCAGGGCATGCAAGACTTATATTTTCTTTATCTGTGTGAAAGCAAAATGTATTTGAGGACATGCCTTGGTCTGCACAGCACTCTGGGACGGACTTGYCTCCATCCCCAAATTTGAGCATCCCCGTGGTGCAGTCCCCAGCATCAAATGGCCAAAACGGCTCAGCCTCAGGTGTGTGTGGTTTTTGGAGAGCAGGTGAATGTCACAGCAAACACAGCTGAGCTCTGCCAGGGTGGATCCATGGCACTGCCAGGCCCCGGGCTGCAGCCAGGGATCCTACTGCCAGGAGAGTGCTGCAAATCATCAGAAATGTCCACCTGTCCCTGATTCTCGACGGGCTAAAAACATCAGAAAATGGAGAGATCATTTTCTGTTTCCGTCATCAAAAGGCTATTGCCCATTATTCACAGCCTACACGCCTGATGTCATGTTTTTCAATTTTCCTGCACTGATCATTTGACAGCTGACTTTCAAGCGGTCGCGGTTTTAAAAAAAAAAAAAAAGGAGAAAAAAGCCCCAAACAGAAAACCGAAATATCCATTATCAGCATATCAGAAAAGCAAAATAATCACAAATGAGGTGGTAAGGATCTCACCGGCAAAGGTTGTGAGCAGAGCTGCCTCTGTGCAGCAGCCACAGAGAGCACAATGGGAGAAGTTTGGGTTGGGGAAAGCATCAGCTGGRTGTTTGGGGTGCTGGCCATTGCCCTGCAAACAGCTGCAGCACCAAAATGGCACTTTCTGAACAAGCTTCTGCACYGTCAGGGACATTTCTCATCCCTGCTACTGAAATCAAAGGATGGCAACCAATGTTCCACAAGCGATTTACTGTTGCTGGTGTACATGACTATTGGCCAGGGACATTTTTAACAACCAAGAGTCATTTCAGCCGAGTGCTGGTGACAAAAAAGGGGCATTTTGCCATCCAGAAGCAGCTGCAGCAGGTCCCAGTGCCTGACATCTCTCAACACACTCCCAAAGAGTCGAACCGCACAGAGATTACCTAAGCAAGCCAAAGGAGATGGAAGCAAGTGTTCCTGTGGCTTGAATCTGGAGTAATTTACTTGAATCGCAGGTATTAATAGCCTAATTCAACACATGGAGTGATTTAATGCCTGCTAGAAGGCAAAAGGAGATGCATGTCTTCTTCCAGCACAATTTTAGTCGTGTTTCCCAAGGTAAGGCGTGAAATGAAGAAATGTAAGTTCCTGTAAACCATTGATGGGAAAACATAGATTTTTACTGTCTTTCAGATGATGCTTCCTGGCAAAACATTAAACTGGAATAAATTTCAATAACAAAATCTGTTTAAACAAGTGGCAGTTTTAAAAATGCTTTAATTCTGGGTTGACAGGAACTTAGCCTCCAGCTCTGACAGAATCAGTCCCATTTTTGATGTCAGCTCAGGACTTTTCCACTGTAAGATCTTTGAATGAAGAGGACTAAAAGCCATATACGAAGCCAAACACGGATCACATTTCTACGGATGCGTTACATAGACAGTTTGCAAACCAAAATGGGTATTTTGGGCTTGGCAACCCTTCATTCACAGAAACAGGGCTGTGGATCCAGGAGGCAGAGGCAGCTGGTGCAGCTGCTGTGTAGAGGATGTGCAGAGCTGGCGGTCAATGGGACTGTGAGAACCCACCCATGGTGTGCGGGGAGCATTCCTGTGTGTCTGTAATGCSTGAAACATGATCCAGTGGGAATTCTGTACATCTGGGAGGATGGCAAATTCCAGGTGACCTTTGGAATGTTGCAATGAAGCTATTACAAACACTTTTGAAATAAATTGAAGAAAAGACGTTGCCTGGGATGTGTGCTGTTTTTTTTCTTTCGAGCGTGCAGAGTGGGAGGCGAGGCAGAAGCACCTCCCAGGTGAGAGACCCCTGGGAAATGTATGGCTTGGAGGGTTCAGGGCCACATGGAGAGAGCCCTGAGCTCCCCAGAGCTGAGTGAGCTGTGTATGTCGAGCAGAGGCATGGGGGACAGCAGCTGGGTGATGTGCTCCCAATGTCCCCAATGGTCATCTGGCAGGGGGGACAGCAGCTGGGTGATGTGCTCCCAATGTCCCCAATGGTCATCTGGCAGGGGGGACAGCAGCTG